TGTCCCCTCTTGGCGATGTCTGAAACAAATCATTCAGGTCTAGATCTCTTATTATGACACTCACAGAGCCTCCTTGCTATTGTTTTGGCCAAATTAAAAACATTTGTCAGGAGTAATTGTGGAATGGCATAAAAATTCATCTCTATTTTGCTGACGAGGACATAATTACTTCTATTCTATTGTGATAAGTTATGTACTGAATTCAGATATTTTTTAATACAAAACATTTTTTAAAATGGCCAGTTCTGGCAGTTCTTATGACATTCTCCTCTCAGGAAAATTCTTCTTGATCTCTCGGGATGTTCTCAACAGCTTATCCCTCTTTTCTAATGTCAATTTTCCTAAAATGCCTTCTTATTCCTGCCCCACACACAGCTAAGTTGTGTCCATATTTTCAGCTTTTCAGGCTCCAAAGAAAGCTCTGTAATTAGTAGATAAACCTTCTCTTTGGTCATCAATCCGCTCTGTGTTTCCTGTGTTGATTTCAGTGAGCTAAATGCATTGAGATGTTTGGAGATGTCCCCACCCCATCTTCAGCCTGAAGCACCACTGAGACCCACAGCTGCTGCAGAACACAATGAAGCTGCCAGAGGCACTAATGGGAGGAGCTGAAGGGTTTGTAGATAGAAAGTAAGGGGTGTGCTGTAGTGCCTACAACCATGGAGTGCAAGAGTACCCTTCTTAAATGGCATCTTTTTTGATGGAAATATAACAGTGGGACTTCAGAGCACGACCAGCACCCAGCATTCAAAACAGCATGCATCAGGCCAGTCACAAACTGTAAGACTATTTTAAGTCATTAAAAAGATCCAGAATTAGTCATATTTGCTTGTTATTTCTGAGCCTTTCATGTTTCCTTGGTTTTGTGTTTTCAACCGTTGCTCTACTGGGAGCAGGATACAACTTTGGGGGGGAGGAGGAACAAAGAGGACGCCTGGGTTTGGAGTGCTGGGTCTCTGCACCGTGCACCAGGAGCCACAAAGTCAAGAGACCCAGCAGAGTATGAGACCCAGAGACTCTCAGTAAGCCTTGTGATATTAAAAAACACCTCTGGAATTCATTAAATTCTTAGTATTATCTCCAACCTCACCAGTGAATTTTAATATTAGCTTTGTTATTACCTTTGCACCAGAGGTATTTCAGCATTGCTGCCATGCAGGAAACAACCAGAACCGAAAGTTACAGGTGGGAAAAGTCACCCCTTTGAAATTCTGTGACATGGCACAGCAATTTTGTTCTGCTGTTTTTAAGTGCTTTGCTTCTGTTCATGAGACTGTTTTAACTACAAATTAAATCAGAACCTCCTGATGGAGCAGAATCAAGCAGCAAAGCAGCACTGAATGGCTCAAGTAGCACAGAGCAGAAACAGCGATGAGACTCCCAGCTGCCCTGACTGCCCGTGTGCCTCAGCTGTGTGCAGCATCATTGCCTTGCTCTCACTGCCAGCTTGCTGTGATTGCCAGCACCCTGCAGCACCTTGTCCAATGTGCTCACTGGTGTCAGGTGGGATTAAGAGGTTGGGAAATTGAGGCTGTGCTGAGAGTTCCTGGCTTAGACAAATACTGTCCTTAACACATTTGGCAGGTAAATTCAAAGATAGAGCTTGGAAAAAATGTGAGAAAATAATTTCTCCAGTTGTAGCAATCCATTCTCTGCCAGTGCAGCCCTGGTGCCTCAGACCTCCCTTCTGTACAGTAAAATTAAAGAGGAGACAACAAGCCATCATCTATCGCCATATTTAAATCTAGCTGCTTTTTCTTAGAGCTTCCATTTCAGATCTGAGGCCAAATCATGGGCATGGATGGTCCCAAAGCCAGGAGAAACTTGCAGTGACCAGAGCTCCACGGGAGGCAGAAACAAGAAGTGCTTTCACAGAATCACAGAACAGCTTGGGTTGGAAGGGCCCATCAAGCCCATTGGGTTCCAACCCCAGACACAGGCATGGGTAGGGCTGCACCCAGCAGATCAGACTGCCCAAGGCCCCATCCAGCCTGGCCTTGAATGGCTCCAGGGATGGGGCACCCACAGCTTCTGCAGGCAAAATGCTGCTTTACTCAGGACACGTGCTGTTAGCTAGAACAAACGTTTCAGACCTCTTTAAAACATTTCCCACCAAATAACCAAATGCAGAAGTTACTTAAAACAGAAGTGTTCCTGCAAGGCAATAAGGGAAGATATAACTGAAGTCCACAGTAGCCAAGTCACACCTCATTGTGTTTGCTTGCTGCTGACTTCACTAAAATCTTAAACTATAAAAAACACATTGGTAAAGTTAAAACGGTCATCTTAATGCTTCAGAGCTACATCAATACATGGTTTTACTAACAGTTATAGATTAACTTCATATCTAAATCATCACCAATAAGTGTACTGCATCAGCAAGCTCACTTAAAATAAACAAAAAATGGATTTTAAGATAAACAGGCTCAAGGCCAAAAATCCACATTCTTTGTAACCAGGGAACTGCACACATGAATGCAGCTATTGGAAGAATAATTGGTCCACAGTTACAGGCAAACACAGCATTTTGTTGTTTCCCCTTCCCCTTCAATGGCTGCTGGATTTTAAAATTTGCATGATGGCTATTTTTTTTTTTACTGAAGGAGAAAAATAGTGCTCCCATGGGGCAGCTTTACCCTCCTACCATATGGAATTGGCTTTTCTTTTTTTCAGATTATCTCATTTATTATTATTCGTACCTTTAAAGAGAAAGAAAATTCTTTCCATACTCAGACCAATAATGATGTAGGAGGGAGGGAATTAAAAAATAAAAAGCCCCTCTCACTTGTTACTTCTGCCAGCAAGCCAGCAATTGAGATCAAGGCCAGCAATTTTGCCCTTTTATGCTTTCCCTTCTGTGTGATGGAGGCCTGCTCTTCCTCGGATTCTTTCACAAGATATCAGAAGTCTGCTCTCCCCTCATCAGAGCTGAAATGATGTGTGCCCATAAAAGAAAGGAGAATTTTCTCTGGTCCAGAGGAACCAGCTTGTCACCAAGTCTTTGCTACTATTTGATGAAAGTAGAAACCTACATGCAAACCTGTAGGGTTTTAGCTGTTGTGAAAATGATTGAGCTGCTCTCCTCTTTCAGAAACTGTTTGCATTCAGTCACCCCACATAGCAGGAAAACCAATTGTTCCTTAAAAATGATAAAATTCTGTGCAGAAACTGTTGGTGCCCAGAGATTTCACAGCAGGCCATCCGTTAATTGCCTTTCCTTCCAGTCTGCATCTGGAACATTCATCTCTAATGCACCTTACTGAGGAATATATTAGTTTGTAAAGTGGAGAAAGACCACAAAGAAAACTACTGAATGCATACAGTGCCTTAACTTAACAATTTGCAAGTAGCCTTACTGCTAGCATGTCCCACTCTAACTTTGCACAAGTTTTTTATTTTGCAATATAGGTCACATTCAGCAAACTAGGTGACCTTCAAGGCCCCTTTCCAAACGAAATCATTCTATGATAGAGTGCATGAAGAATTACACGGCTTCATCAGTGAGATCATTGATTTGCAAGCTCCAACACTGCACTCCTTTTCCCTCTTTTTAACCCAATTATAGGCTTTGCTGAAACACAGTGCAGTCATTTCTGGCACAAACTCAAGTCACCCTGCATATAGCAGTGCTATCAGCATCACTTCTAGGAGAATCTGCTCCATGAATTTCCCATGCACAGAGGTGAGGCTCACTGGCCTATAGTTCCCCAGGCCACCTTTTCTCACTTTCTTAAAAATACACGTGATGTTTCTCTTTTCCAGTCGCTGGGGACTTCACGTGACAGCCACAGCTTTTCAAATATGATGGAGAGGGGTTTGGCAACCACATGAGCCAGCTCCTTCAGAACCCTGGAATGCATGTTGTCCACCCCATAGACTTGTACATATTCAGTCTCATGAAGCAGTCTTGGTCTTGCTGCACTCTTACAGTGGGAGGAATGTTGCTCCCCTGCCCCCCACTCCACTTTGACATTCAGGGACATGAGATGCATGGGAAACCTGACTGCCAATAAAGGCTGAGGCACTCATTGAGTACCTCAGCTGTCTCCATGTCTGCTGCAGACAGTTCTCCCTTCTCATTTATCAGAGGGGATACACTCTCCTTTGCCCGTCTCTTCTGACCAATGTACTATAGAGCCCCTGCTTGTTATTCCTCACGTCCCTCACCAAATGCAGTTTGATCTGCACCTTGAATTTCCTGAACCCATCCATGCACGTCTGGATGGTGTCCCTGTATTATTCCCAGGCCATGTGTTACCACATCCCATATTTATAGACTGCTGGTACAAGGATATTTTCACTGACAAAAATAAAACACCTTTTCTTCGATCTCCACAGTGTATCACAAAGATGGAGAGCTAGGTTGCATTCACTTACACCTCAGCCTAAAAGCCAATCTTGGTAGCATGGATTTTTTCATAGCATATAGCTCTTCTCAGATCAGGTGTCTGTTATTTCTCTGCCAAATAATTCTTACCCTAACATTTCTCTGCCTGAAATTCTTACCCTGTCCAACCTGAATGTTTGTGGCATTATCAAATGAAGTGAAATCAATTTATCTTTGCAAGCAGGTGGTTTTTGGTGTGGGTTTTTTTGCATATTTTTTCTTCCTCCCCAGTATGCACAAATACATCTGGTCAACATGAAGATAACAGAAGTATCTCTAACTCACACATGGCAGAAGAGCAGTGTGTTTCTGGTTGGCAGACTGGGATAACTAAAAACATGATCAGCAAAGGGGCTAGGAACCAGGATAACTGCAGGAGGAGAAAGAAAGCAGCTGACAAAAGCCAACACAGCATGAAGAAGAGGAAGGAACTAAGCAGCAAGGCTATGGGGATTCCTGAAAGCAGAGGGCACAAGACCTAATGAAAGTAATTAATGACTGATCTATTTAAGTTGTCCTTTCTAGTGGCAGACAGTATTGAAATATCAGGCCGGCTTCTACTTAGAACATTTGATACTTACTGAAATACTTCACATATATATACATACACCCATACACATACATACACATTTATTGTAGTGTCTGAAATTAGAGAATACTGCTGTCAAGTGTCATCTGTCCTACAGCAAAGAGGTTTTTAAACTGGATTCATAGAACCAACTTATTTTCTCAGTGGAAGAGCCATGTCCATCCACATCACCAGTTCCTGACTTGCCAGGCTATTTCAATTCCATGAACCCAAAGCAAAAGCTGTGGTAGAAATGGTTGCCATACAGCCTGCTGCTGTAACATACGGTCAGAACTCTGCTGTAAGGGACTCAAATGCAGATCCACTAATGAATGTAAACATTAAAGAGCCTCAATGCTCAGAAGTCCCTTAAACGATGTTGGTACAAACACCTGGTGGTCTTACATAGACCAACAGAAGGCATTGAGTAGCTTGTTGAACATCAGAAAGACAGCAGGATCTATAAAGACAAGATATCTGAACAAGATTAGAGTTGTGAAAGTAATCAATGAACAACGACTGGCAAGTCTGTGTGTTCTGTGACCCACCTCCTACGGTCAGCTCGCAAAGTCTAAGAGCAGGGACTGGAGAAGGAAGCACTGAGAAGTGTGAGGAGCTGCTCTGGAACAGGGGTGGTTTGTCACACTGGATGTATCCATGGAGAAGTGAGTAACGCTTAAATATCATCATGGCACTGCGTACTACATGAAATAATAGCAAAAAGCATGTCCTTGTTCTGTTCTTTCTGTCCTTCCCTCTAATACGCAGGTTGAGAATGTATAATCCTACGTCAAACACCAGGCAGAAGGCGCGGCTCTGACAAGTCCAGTGACTTCTGAGTGCACAAGATATCATCAGCATTCACACTGCTGTGTTTGGCAGGGTAAGGTAACCCTTGCTGAGCCCAGCACTGCAGCAGATGCACTGCTTTCAGCTAGACCTGCACTCCTGCTTCTAAAGCTAACTTGGTTTGATCAGATACTACATTCCTTGTGACTGTCAGCACAGATTGGGTTTGCTCTTTTTCAGCTTGCTTTATGAAGTGTGACTGTTACAACCACTTACTTTGAATCGCCCCATAACCCTTTATGATGAGCTGCACTAACAACAGTGTTCTTCCACTCCTTGGCCCACGCTCCTCAGGGTGAGGCATCTCTTCCTTTAAAGCCAGTAACTATTCTTGATGAAGGACCTATATTTAATGGGAAGACCCTCAGGTTTGTCCATTTCAGCAAGCATTCCCCTTAGAACTGCACAGTAAGCAGCACAAATCTCTAGCAGGATTTCTGCAACTGGGCAACTGTATAAACAAATGAAGAATTATTGCTGCTTCCTTTGTTTTTTAAACATCTGACTTCTAATACAGTTCAGCTTTGAATAATAATTACATAAAAATGCATCACAAGAGCCCAACTATCATGCTGGTTTTCATCTCAAGCACTTTGACTGTGCAAGAAAAAAAGAGGCTTTAAACAATTTAAAGCATGCAGAATACAAAAAAAAAAAAAAAAAAAAAAAGATTTTGTCTCTGGAAGAGAGATTCATAATCACATCTGATCAGAATATGTCTCTTGTATCAGGAGGTTCATAAAAATAAAACAGCAAAAATAACACTAAAAATAGGAATTTGTATAGACAGCAAGGTGACTTCACGTGCCTTGGGGTGAGACGTGCCAGAGAAACAGAAGCTCCTGCATCCAGCGGTGGAACCGTGATCAGTCACACCTCCAGAGGGCGATGGTCCGGCTGCTCTGCTCCTCTGCTCAGACGTGGTGAGTTTGACACCGTGATTTTCAATGCTACAGCTAAAGGAGATTTTCAAGTCCGTACAGAGATTTTGTCGAATTTGCTGTAGCGGTGGCTGCGGTGTGCCTGTAGCCCTGTCTTGCAGAAACAGACCAAACGTACTGATTGTGCCACCCCACGAGATCTTGTGAGACTACTTTTGAAATTGTTACAAAAATGAAGCTGCTTTTTACGGGCCTTTACCCCTTATAAAAATCACATTTTTGTAATATCAAACCAAACACCTCATTCCTTTCAGCACAAATCCCATCAGATAAAGCTATGAAACAATATATAAACCCCTCTTCTGCAAGCTTGAACCTCTCCATCACATTACTTTACCAGCTAAATGTGTCCCCTGCACACATCTGGCTTTTAGATAAAGGGGGATACTGCATGAAACTTTATCTGAAAACCAACTGAGAAATACAACAATCAAGTAACATAATGAGACCACAGAATTAAATACAGATTTATAAAGCAGTAAGGAGCAAGGAGCAAACTAAGTGCTGCCGGTTTTCAAAAAAGGTATAAAGCAGTTGCTGTAAGTGGTACACGAAACAGCTAATTGAGCCCTTTGATTTTAGGAAAACCTGCATATCCATGCATCAATTAACTTAAAAAAGCAACCAAATCAATATTGAACCTTCTATTCATCCTCACTCACAAGAAGAAAAACCTTATAAAAATATTAAGTATAGTAATATTAAGTAAGTATAAAAATATTATTTATCTACTTCATATATAAAAATCCAAGAGCTCAGGATCTACTCAAGATTAAGGATAATTTCAGCCACTGATGCAAACCACATCTTGAAGTTAAGGATAATTTCAGCAACTGCCCCGAGCTACATCTTCCAACTCAAATTTCTTCCAACAAGCAAAATCCTCTAAGGAGTAATAGATACCAGTCTTCTGCACAGAACTCATCTAGAGCATGAATTAACTGTAGACATTCAATCCTTTCACTAACAGTCTTTTGAATACTCCTGTTCCAGCATAAATGTCTTGTTCCAATTTAACATAATCCACCTAATCCATTTGCAGTACGACTCACTTATACCTCAAAAGCTAGATGGAATTGAGACACAGAATTCTGGAATTGCAGTTTAAGACTCACTTGTCTGTTTAGATTACAGCTTGCTTCATCATTTGAACAGACAGTTCTTTGGGCATCTAAAATTCCATCAAGTCTGAGGAAACCTCATGCATTCACCATGTTCAGAATCCAAAAACCTGACATTCCTCAAGATCAATCTGAAAAAAAAAAAAAACCAGAACACTGAGTGCATCTGATAAACTGACAGCATTTTGGGTTCTTTGTCAGACCCAGCAGTTCACCAATTGCTGTTCCTAGGAGCTACAAAATTAGGAGACAACAGTAACAAGCCTGGCAGCACACGTACTCAACAAGCTGCAAGCTCAGGCTTGGGGCTCTCTCACCTTACAGGAAGGCAAAGCATCACCTCTCTCAGGACATTGCTCTGCTCAGACCCTCTGGACAGTGCTCCCAATAGCCTCCTGTTGGAGCTGGTCACTGCAAAGCAGAACACGCCAACTTATTTGGCCAGGAGAATAAAAGTCCAGGAAGAGGAAATATGAGGGAGGCTGTCCTGACTTATGGTCAGCCCCAGTTGATATCCAAAATTGGATTTATTGGGCAGCAGGAACTGCAGGTAATGGCTCACTACAAATACACTTACAGCTGAAACAGAAATGAAGAGGAGGTGAACATCCATTTCTATCATGCCCTCTTACAATTTATCTTCCCAAACTACAACTCCTAGTACATCTGTAATTTCTCCTTGCTTTCCACCCCTAAAATTAGCACCCATGCCAGCCCATTCACCCCCATTCCTATAGCACGAGTAGCAGAATTCTCATGTGGGGACTGAACAGAAGCATCTCTGCTGCCAGTTATGGACGGTGAGTGACTCGCAGCTCTTCACCCAGTGGTTTGTGTAACCACCTCCACACAGAAAATTACTTTCAACATAGCACCCAAGTTTATTTGGTAACCACCAAACACCACATAGATCATAAACTTAGTTTACTTGGCAGGAGTTAATACTCCAGTGTTTTGAAAAGCCTGTTGATCACTGGAGTTGTATGTGGTAAATACATATTTAAGAAACATTGCTTTAAAAGTGGGAAATCATCACCTCTCCTCCAGTTCCACACTGTTACTTGCAAGCCAGGTAGAAGAAGCACCATGACGTTAAGTCAGGAAGTGATCCCAGTGCTCTGGATGTATCTCACTGAAGCTTTGAATCAAGCACAGATAAGCATTCCAAAATCTGTGTGTCTTCGTTCAGCAAATAAGGCACAACACACCCAGCACAGCTTCTGATCCAGCACCACAGTTCAGTAACACAAACTTTGCCATTACAGCTTCTAGCTTGTAATAGACATGTATCTTACTGGGTCTAAAAGCCATATAAAAATTGACAAAATATATATATATATAAAGCCAGGAACAAATATGATGCTTTAGATTTATAGCCAGTCTTATTTCAGGCAAACTTTCCTTTGCAGGCTAACCTTACATAGCTGCTGTCATCTCCACATTACCAGTTCTATTCTAGCAATGCCTTAGTTTGTTTTCTAAATAAACTTAAGCTGTTAAAGAAAAGCTTTCTATGCCAAGATTTGCAATATACCTAACTTCTGACAAAAAGACAGAACACCCATGCACTTGAAAAAAGCTTTTGACTTCAGTAATAGGATGCACTAAAATAATTTGGGTCAATACAAAATATAAAGGCAGGAGGCATTTTTGAGCTACACTGGTGCACTTCCCAGTGACTGCCAGGGTGCAGTCACTTGACAACAGCCCTGGAGATATACTACTATTGCTCTCCATTTGTGGATCTGAACTTAAATACATTTCCAAGTATACAGCTGCACTTTGAGGAAATAAAGGTTGCGAAGTACACATCTTTAAAGACTCATTTTTTTTTTTAAATAGTACTTCTCTGAAGGAGTGGTCAGGCACTGGAACGGGCTGCCCAGGGAGGTGGTGGAGTCACCGACCCTGGAGGTGTTCAAGGAATGGTTGGATTCTGTGTTGAGGAACGTGGTTTAGTGAGAACTATTGGTGATAGGTGACTGGTTGGACTGCATGATCCTGAAGGTCTTTTCCAGCCTTGGTGATTCTCTGACTCTGTGATTCCTTTTTTCAGTTTTAGCATCCTAAATAAAGCAAGGAGATACATTTTTATGGCTTATGATTATTTGAAGACAAGCAAACCAATAGTCATTACATATTAGGAATTCACTGCACTGTTATGTCAATTTGTAAACAAACTTTCCATGATATAAGTTTTTTCACGTAGGCAATTTCAAACTCCCTTCTATATAACAAGATGAATCAGTTTACATATGCTTTTTTTTTTTTTTTTTTTTTTAAAGTCCTTGCTGTTCAGTCCATACTTTTTCTGAGATATCCTATTTTGATATAAACTAATCAGTACTTGACCAGACTAAGAGGAGAGACACTGCCAAGAGGCATCCCAGCCCAATCCACCTTTTTGCTACTAAAAAAGAAACAATGTTTTGGCTTTTGTGTTTCACTTCAATATAAACAAAGCTGTCATGAATACTGTGGCACTGCAACAATAGCAGTACTCCTGAGATCATCTAATTTTATCACCTCCGCATTACTCAGGGGAAGCCGGTGGCAAAGCTATACAAGTAAACTGTTGATGAGCTCTGTCTCGCTAATCCCCGTAGCATGGCAAACAGGATATAAAATTTGTTTATAATTATTGGTGAAGAGCTATTACTGAAACTATTCATATCTGCACACTCTTTATACCTGTACCTGAGAGACACAGTTATCAAGAAAAGAGATTGCAATTGCATTTCCTCCAATTTAGCGAATTGTTATGAAGGCTTGATTTAAACATAAAGCTGCTGCTGTAATACATGAATGAGCAGGACAAAATGCATGTGCACACGTATTCAGTAAGTACCAGAAATGGAAACAAGACAGAGATCTCTGCTATATTCTTACCTCCTCTCTATTCTCTGACTTTGGTTCTATTTAATCTCACCTACAAGAATGTCTAACAGCTGCATGTTTACTACTAATCTAATTCTGACCCTTCACATGCATTTATTTCTCTCCATTCCAGGTTGTTCACTATTCTTTCCAACCTTACTCCAATATTAGTTGGTCCTCATTTATATGGTACAGCTCCCTGCAGCACTGTGCCCTGCAAGGGCATGCCTCCCACTTGCACTCAAATCCATCTCTCACCATAGCATAACTTCTTTCTAATCAAGGCTTTAGAGTACAGTTTCAGAAAATACATAAGCCTGACATAGTCTTACAGTTTAAGCTTTCGTACCCTGCTTAAATCATGTTTTCCTCAAATTATCCCTCCAAAACTCCAGCTAAGAGATGATTGTGAACAGGAGCTGTAAATATATCACAGAGATGACTCCAGGCTCCTTAAGGAGAAGGCTAAATAGCTAATTCCTATTTGGTCCCCAACAGTAAAGCAAGAAGCAGTAGTGCCTGAGCTACTTTCATTCACTACAGTGGTCTTCTTTCTAGACATGGATGTAGGGGAAAAGAAAGCATACGGAAGAAAGGCAGCAGGATTTCAGAGAAGCCATGAACACAACTAAAAGAGCAATGGAAAAAAATGCAAGCATTCTGTCCAGATTTAAAGTCATATTCTATCAAACAGGCATTCCACAGTAACCATCCGAAAGCTAACCAGTAAAACATTTTTCCTGTTTTTCAGAAGAGCCTTGAAGCATCACTACATCAAAATCGACAGCCTGAAATCTAGTTCAGTTATGCATCTGCAATATAGTTTTGCAGTGATTTAAGAAATTATATAAGATTATTATTAATTTTTTAATAAGAAAACAGTAACTTTATTTCATTTGTTTTATCTACAGTTTTTCTAATGCATTTAAAAATCATGGGAAATGTGGAAAGGTTGGAAGAAAGCCCCCTCAGCTTACACTGCTGTTGTAGGGTTCTGTGCCTGACCACATCTCACCTAGTGGGATTTTAGAATTGCCAAGTCCAGACATTTGATAGCTTCAGGTTACATTACTTTTCAGCTCTGGCGCATGCTTTAAGCTTCCCACTTCCTTCTTCAGGACATTAAGCAAAGTTCTGGAACTATCCAAAATCTTCATGTAAGCAGCTTCAGTTTCAGCAAGAATTTTATCAAGCTCATTTCGTGAAGCTACCTTCTGAGCCAGGTTTTCACACACGCACTCCAACTGTTCATTCAGAACTTGAATTTCATGTTGGAGTTTACTTTTTTCCTCTTCTGCTTGCTGGATCTGTTTGTTCAGCTCCTCTTTTTGCATACACAAGTCTTCAATACACTTGACGAGCTCGTTGTTGTAACCTTGAAGAACAGCTCCCTGCTGCGTCATCCTCTGCTCCTGTCTCTGAGCTCTCCAACGGCTTCCTGAGGACTCCTCTCAGCAGCGGCCTTCCGCACATTAATACAAAAACAAAAACAGAAAGAAAAAATATGGAATAAGAGTTTTTGCTATGCTACGTTTAAACACATAGAGTCACAGGGAAAGATGTGCTACTACAAGCCAGCAGGACAGTTCTGAGGTGTGCTGTATCGCTTCTCTTATCAGAAAGGAGGCAGGACAAGATTCGGGCTTCACATCGTAGTATGGTTTGGGTTGGAAGGGTCCTTAAAGACTATTATTCCCAAACCCCTGCCATGGGCAGCGCTCCCACCCAGCAGCTCAGGCTGCCAAGAGCCACATCCAACCCGGCCGTGAGTACCTCCAGGGACGGGGCACTCACAGCTTCTTTGGCAGCAGCGCCAGGGCCTCACCCCTCTCTCAGTGAAAAATTTTCTTGACATCTAATCTGAATCTCCCCTCTTCTAGCTGAAAATTATTCTTCCTTGTCCTATCATTACCTATCCGTGTAAAGAGCTTACTTCCCTCCCATTCTCAAGCTCCTTCGAGCATTGGAAAGCCCCCATCAGATTTCCCTAGAGCTTTCTCTTCCCCAGGGCGAACAGCCCCAGCTCCCTCAGCCTTTCTCTACAGGCGATCCTGTGGCCTCCTCCGGACCCGCTCCAACAGCCCCGCATCCTTCCCAGGCCGTGCCCCGAGCCAGGCGCAGCGCTCCCGCCGAGCCCCATCGGCTGTACACGTGCACCGCCGCTGGACCCGGCCCGGCGAAGTCACGTGACCGCGGGGTCCCGCCGGCCCTCAGCGCCCCTCACTCTCACCCGCTCCCCCCGCGCGCGAGGCGGCCGAGTCCCGCCGCCGCCTCGGGAGGAATTGCGAGGGAAGGCGAGAGGCGGCCCGGCCCGCCAGCTCCCAAGGGACATTTTAACAACCTCTCCCTGCCGAGCGCCTCTCGCGCAGCCCGACGTACACAAAATGGCTCCTGCCTATACATCAAGGCGCCGGGCGGAAGGGGAGGGGGGGAGGCGAGGGGAGACCTTCCCTTTCCTATCCCCCCTCCGCCCTCACCGCTCCTCTCGCGGCCCCCCCCCCCCATCGCCCCCACCTGCCTGGCGCTGCCGCCCGCTCGGCTCGCACCGGCCGCCCAGCCGCGGGGCTCCCCTCGCGCGGCCCGCCCGCAGCGCGGCCCCCGTACGCTCCCCTCGGCCGATCGGCCGCGCCCCGCCAACAGCCGCGCCGAGCGGGAGCGCTGCCGAGCCGCGGGGCGAGGGGTCACGGAAATAGCCGAACGGTTCCGAAGGCGGCGTCACCCTGACGGGAGCGTGAAAGCCTCTCTACGGAAATAACCGATGTTTTCCGAAGACAGGTAGCGTTCGGGAGAGGAGGACGAGGCGGGCCGGCCGGCCGGAGGGGGGAGGAAGGGGGAAGAGTTACGGAACAAGCCGACGTTTGCCGAAGGGAGAGACTGAAGGGCGTTGGACTCGGCGGAGACGGCCGATGTTTGCCGAAGGCAGAGTCGCCCGAGAGCAAAGGGGACAGAGGGGACGGAGCGCGTCGGAAAGAGCCGAAAAGAGCCGACGTTAACCGAGCGCGGCGTCGCCCGAGTTTCCCGGATGTAGTTGGAGGAGCGGCGGCGGCGGCGGGCGCAGCGGGGGGAGGAGGCGGCTGCGGCGGCAGCGACGGAGTCCGCGCTCCCGGAGCGCCTCAGCGGGGCCGAACTGCCGGCGTCTCCCCTCAGGCTGCGCGCGGCGGAGATGGGCCCGTGAGCGCCGCTCCCAGCCCAGCTGCCGAGCCGCCCCCTCCCTCCCTGCCCCCTCCCTGCCCCCGGTCGGCGGCGAGGCGGAGCGCCGCTCCCCTCCTCCCCCCTCGGCGCCCGTGGCCCGGCCGCGGCCGTCCCTTCCTGGTCCCCTCACACTCACACACACAGGCCGGGCATTGATGGTAATGTATGCGAGGAAACAGCAGAGACTCAGTGATGGGTAAATCCCCTCCTCGGCCCCGCGGCTCTCCCCCCGCCTCCGCCATGTTTGGGCCCCTTCCCGGCGGCCGGTAACGGCCCTCGCTAACGCCTCTCTCTCTCTCTTTCTCTCGCCTTCTCCGCAGCTGTCACGACCGCAGGGGGGACTCGCAGCCCTACCAGGTACCGCCGCGCCGGCCGCTAGGCCCGGGAGGAGGAGCGGGGCAGGGCAGGGAAGGGAAGGGGGGGGGGAGCTACTCCGGCCCAGGCTTCGGCCGCCGCCGCAGGCCGCGCTGCCCCGCGCGGCTTCTGCCCGGCCCGCGGCGCCTTCTCGGGCACCGGGGGGGGGAAAAGGGGGCGAGGCGGCGGCCCGCAGCCGGGAGAACGGGGCCGCTGCGCCGCTGCGAGGGCCAGGCCGGGAGGAGAGGCCTAGCGCGGGGCCGGGGCCTAGCCGCCGGGAGGTGCGAGCCCAGGGGCGGGAGAGCGCGGCGGGGTCACGAGCGGAGGAGCCGAGAGCCGGGGGGAGGCGAACGTTTTTCTCCTAAAAACAAAAGGAGGCTTGTTCGCCCCCAGCCCCCCTCCCCGAGGCCCTTCTTCTCCCCAAAAGTGCCGCTGCAGGCTGTAACCTGAGCAGGGCACGATTTTAGACCCTGAACTGGGGTTGCCGGTAAGGCTTCCTTTCTACAGTTGCCAGCTGCTAGGTGTGTTCAAAAACATCAGATCCTCCAGCTTTTGGCAATAACTTCACTTTGAGTACAACGAATCCCATCGTCTTCTGCCTTGTCCGTGGAAAAAAAAGGAATTATACCTTGAGGAGGGTGTGAGTCTGGGGAACGCCGTGTGTTGTGACACTGCTCTTCTTAGGGCACGTAACTGAACCATTTTATTACATTTCTGAGTATTTCTCTCACTGTGAAGTGTCATCTGACAGTCCGAGGCAGCTGTCAGTGACAGTTCACGTAATGTAAACAGTTGCCACTCAGAAGCTCGCTCTGCAAAACTGAGCAGGTCAAGGAGAGACAGAACATGTTTTGGTAAAAGTTCCCAAATGAATTGTCACATTACATGTTTGTCCCCTTACATCCCCACAGAAATTCTAGATTTTTATTGTATCTGTTGTGGGTTTGCTAGTACTGAAGTCTGTCTGCAGAAGCTTAAGGTAGAGGCTAAAGGAAGTGGTCTCCATTACAGTATGGATATTTACAGTTTACTCTGATTAAATGTAACTTTCTGTTTATTTCTTTGATACCAGCTGCACTTGTGCTTATTTTAAGTGCCAGAAGTATTGTGGCCCACTTACTGCTTAAAGTTTGCAGTCCCTCACTGAAACAAAAAGAAATTAGGCTCATTTTAACAGCAAATGTTACGTTAGATGTCGTGGTGGGAGCAAATGGTTTTGTCCTAATTACAGAACTTGTTGCTTTAATGTAGGTAATTAAAATTAGGAGGACTAATGGTGGTTGTTTAAATGGGAAATGAAAATTAATTACTTCAAAAAGTATCTTGGAAAAAAGATCTAAAATTTATGACTGATGTTAGAACGTTCATTCTGTAACTTTAATGAAAATGCCTGTTCTCTTGTGATCTGTTTCAGGCTCTTAAGTACTCATCCAAGAGTCACCCAAGTGGTGGTGATCATCGTCATGACAAGATGCGAGACACCACAGATCCTTCACCACCAAATAAAATGTTGCGGCGCTCTGATAGCCCTGAAAACAAATACGGTGACAACACAGGGCACAGTAAAGCAAAAAGTGTGCATACTCACAGAGTTAGAGAGAGGGATGGTGGTGAGTTATCTTTAATTAACCTTTATTTAAGCAATTACTGCTTTCTCATAGAATTAAACAGTTGTTACTCAGGTGAAGGGAGCATTGCGCTAAGCGATGTTCTTTGGTGCTTGGAAGACTACAGTGAAACCAAGAACCATGTTTCCTTGGAAGTAGGCATTGTAACACCTGTTAGCTGTCTTATTTTTGCAGGTATGATAGTTCTTATTTAAACTACGAAGGTTAAATTAACTTCTTTTTTTTTTTTAATTAGCATATCTGACTTATTTCAGACATACTGCAACATTCAATAAGATGAAACCGTATTCTAGATTTTTCACTACTATTGGCAGTCTTAGAGGCTTAAATTGTTGGCTTTTTTAATAATTTCGTGTTCCTGTAAAGTGTTTAATAATTTAATTTTTTAAATTTTTTTAAATAATTTCGTGTTCCTGTAAAGTTCTGTGCTTCATAGAATACACATTGTAAAATGATGAAAAAGCTTTGTATCTAGTTCTAGTTGCTGTGTAGAACTCCTAGCAATTTTAAAATCAAAGACAGCACTTAGTACAGTATCTCTTGGCAGAAGCTTAGTCAGGTAGCCTCCTGTCTTTTTACACTGTAACTTAAATGATAATAGCATGCTCAGAAGTTTTAAGATGATGTTATTTTCTGTTCCTACCTCCTAGGAACACCTAGGAGTAGGGTTTTCCTTTTAATAGAAGGTAGTAACAGCTGGAGGTTTGAAAGGCTTGTTACTGACTGAATTTGGAAGCCTGTTTTGTAAGTATTGTTCTTTGTATTGTGTTATAAAGTATTCAGGTAGAGAACTTGAGACAAAGAAGCACTGATAAAAGTTCTACATAAAGTTAACAGCCTGTGATGTCCAGATGTATTTATTGCTGCTGTATGGTTACTTGTTAAAGTAACAAAGAAAATACCTTTGTCTCCTTTAGAGTGTATTGGTTCCATACCACATGTACATTTATGGTGCTCGACTGTTCTAACAGTTCTTACGTTTTCCCACTTTTGGGGATTAATAGTAGACTGTTGATAATCAGATGTTACTTTGTAGAAGGTTTGCAAAGACTGGCAGCATTTCGTAGTACGTTGGTTTTCATTATATTTGCACATACTTGTAAGCACTGTAATCTCAGAATGAAATGCATGTGCCAAACTGGTAGACTGCTATTCCACATTACTTTCCAAGGCACAAAAGTGCCTTCTCTTCCTTGCTTGCCTGTCCAAAGGTACTTGTCCTACCTCCTCCTTTAATTCTGCTGAGTTCTGGTGCAGTCAGTAACCCGATTTCAGTGAAGCTACATTTAGTGGAGTTATGCATATATGAGAACATTTGGAGGATGAGGCTCTGTGTGGGGAGCATATTCGCTTATTTTAGTACTAAAATTGTTTCTGAGGGTAGAAACAGATTCTAAAGCTCTCACTGACTCTGGACTGGTGAGTGATCTGAGGTGTGGATGTAGAGAGTAATGATGGAGGAAAAGCAATTATTTGTAGTTTTGTAAGTGTAAGGAACCCTGTCCCACTGCTGTTAATACAGTGAAAAATGTACTTTATTCTATCTGAATGTGGACTTGTCTAAACTATATGTCAGTGGACTGGGAGAAAGAGGTAGTCTTAAACAGTTTGAAGGAAGTTGCTAATTTTGAAGGAGCATCTACATTATTCTGTATTGACAATGAAGTGATTTTTGTTGTGTGTGTCTTATTAATAAGGTTACTTTGGTGCCTGTTTCAGTGTTTTAGCACATACTCAAAACAACTAAAGTTAAGTACTGTGTATTACTGAACCAAAGCTGGGCAGATGTGAGCCAAGAGAATGCCAGCTTTGTCTTCCAGAGTAACTCCTTGCAAGTTTGAAGCTGTTGCATCTTATTGTCTGTGTCCCACTAAGGTTTACTGAATCTCTCTGTCAGTGTGAATTAAAGGTAGGTGTCAGAATGTAGGTGAATGTGGATACTTACACGTTGCTGATACCCAAAGGCACAATCTAATAGTTTGCAGTGTTCTCTCTCAAATTACTCGGAGGTACTATTTTGTTTTGTTTTGTAATATTCCCTCAGTTTTGCAGGTACAGATGTACCTTGGGGGAAATAACAAAAATCTTGCTGTGTTTAAATGAGTAGATATCAAGGAAAAAAAAAGAATGCTAGTTTTCATCACAGTTGTACTTGGTTTTGTCAACACTTTGCAGTGACTTCTGGGGGGAAAAAATAGGTTTGTTTTTTTTTGTAATTGCTGTAGGCTTCATTATTTTAAAATGAGTAGTGCTTGATTTGGGGCTATTACAAAGGCATTACTGCCTTCCTGTGATCTAGCTGAACTTAGCAAAACAAACCTCATTGAAAAATCTCCAGTAATGATTTTCCCAGTCTTCACTGAAGCCCCAAATAAGCAATCTTTTTTTTTTTATCCCTTAGAAATCAATTCAGAAATGTGGGGTATTACTGCTGAACGTAAATATGAATTAACCTGATCTGCTCCCTTTCAAGTTAGTGTTAAAGAAAGCACTCTTAGTATCACCAGTACTAAATTTTGTTCTGGAGTGATACGAAAAGATCCAGCATGCTGATGGGTGCTGGGGACTCATTTAGTCTTGATTGGCTCTCTCTTTTGTGGTAAGGACAGAAAGGGCTGACCCTTGTTTGAAGGTGTAAGTGTACCTACAACATGAAGGTGCTGTGACTCGACTGGTGTAAAGTGAATAAAGAAATGTTAGAGCCCTGCACTGTGAAAAGCTTTGCTGCCTATATAAATGTATTTGTTATTGTAGCTTACTGGGAATGTTTTTTTGTTTTGTAGAAATGTATCTGTAAGAAATGTTATTATTAATAATATTGATGATACTATCAATAATAATTACTGATAATTGATTAGTAATTAAGGTTTTAGAACTTGGGCTAAGAGTAGGCCCTCCATACTGACACAGTGCAAGCAAAGCATTTTTCACAGTTGCTTCCTGCGTGTTTTCTGTGGAAAGAGAGCACAGAGAGAGACATTAGTTACTCTGAAGAGAGACTTCCAAGTTTATCTTGTATTAATGGTAAAGTACGTGCAAGTTTTTGTCACATCTCTTGTTTTCAAGGAGTGCTTGTAAGTCTAGCGTATCAGAGTGCTGGAGTAACTTTGCTCTTGCTTTCAGGTCCCTGTGCATGAGGATATTATCTATGTGTGCAAGGGTTTGAAATCTAATGAACAGCCACCCCCTTCTCTGTATCTCTTATTTCTAGGTCAGCTGCTATAGGCAACGGTGGAGTTGTAAGAGATTGGGAGTCTTAGGAGACCAACTCATGTGAAGTTCCTGAACAGTAACAAACAGGGAGTTACAGCTGGCATTGTTTACAGGGAGTGGAGCTATGAAGGGCCTTGTGAATGTAGAAGAGTGTTTCCATTAAAGAGAGGAGGGAAGTACAAAGACTTTAATGTTATAGTGCCCAGGGGTGGTAGATGATCTTTGTAAGTCTTTTCAAAGGTATAAATGAGGTAGTGATAATGTTGGAAGTACAGGAAATAAATGAGGTATGGAAGTACAGGAAAGAAAAAGGAAAGCACTCGGATATGTAGGGTAGCTTTGGGAATGCTGGGGGGGAGGTGTGAGTGTACGTATATCACTTAGGAGTAAAAACAAAAGGTGGCCTTCAGAGTTTTTGTTTTGTTTTTAAAATGATATTTCTACTGACTTAAAGGTTTATGTGCCAGGATGACCAACAAGTGATAGCAAAGAGGTGTAGCAAAACTTAGTCCAAATAAAAATAATGTAGTTCAGTTGATTGATGTACGCAGATGTTCCTTACGGTGCAAATACTGTGCATTTTTCCACATTTACCATTAGGAGACTTCAAAATAAATGGGTTCTTCATGTTGGGATCTTAATGGATTCTTTAAAAGAAATGGAGAGCATAAGTATACATGACGTGATTTTCTTTTTTGCTGGACTGTATGCTATTTTGTTTTCATGAAATTTGATTGTAATTTGTTATTTAAATTCCAAAATATGACCAAAGTTGAATACTTCTTCTGCACACTTTTTTAATTGGCAATTAAGAATACTCTCAGTAATGGTTCTCTCTGCTCTGTGCTAAGATTCATAATTGTTCTGCTGTCAGAGCCTGTGTGGAACAAAGCATGCGTTCCTAGTTTTAAAGAATTGTTGCTGGGAGCTGGTGTCATGACTTATCCTGCATTGCTTTTAGTGGTTCCTGAAGGAGTCCAGAGTCCTCGCTGCAGAAGGAATGCTCAACAGCTGGATGCAGGAAGTGAACTTTTCTTTCCTGTGTTAGCAACCGTCGTGGCAGAGGAGGGCAAGAAGCAAACCGTTGGTTACATTAGCATCATTGTTAATTAGCTGACAGAAATGAATGGCATTAGGGCTGGTGGAAGGGAGTGGAAGCTGCCTGGGCAGCGTGCGTTGCAAAGAGGAAATTAAAGGACTGCTGGAAACAGGGAAGCCTGAGAAGAGTGAAACGTAGTGCGGGGTGAAGGCTTGAGGAGGCAAATGGTGCAGATGGTCGCCATTGAATCAGTGCTCACTGCTATAAATGGTCCGTTACTGTGAAGAAGGTTTCTTCACAGTCACCACTCACCTGGGATGAGTAAAGTCTGTGATTCAGATGAGGGTGTGGGTCATCCATGAAACAGGCTTTGAAAACTGCATCCCCAATGTCAGATTCCAGGACTGCTCAAATCTTAAAAGCTTTCTGTTGGATTACAGGAAGAAAAAAAAAGAAAAGAAAAAAGTACTTTTCTGTTGTTTTCTTTAGGTCTCCAATTTGGAATAAAAGCTTTCTTGTGTATCTCACTAGTAGTAGAACCTTCAATTGGTGATAGTTAATTTTAAGAGTTTGCTATAAAAGTTGGGAAATTATAGGTAATACGGTTGTAGAGAATGGAAAATAGCTTTAGATTTGCTCTGTAAGCTCGACAGAGTTTCTGAAGTGTCTTTTTATTGGATCAGTTGTATGAGTTTTTTATTATGATTTGGTGGTTAAGGCTTTCTTGTTT